CTCGCCGCCCCCCCCGCTGAGGGGGGGAAAGCTTTTAGCCACTCCAGGATCTGCTAGGGTGGCCAGGCCAGCCGGACCGGTCACTCAGGGTGGGCGGTCCCTGCTCTTCAGCATTTCCGTTCTCCCATGGCACCCCATTGCTCACGGCCAGGCCCTCTGCAGCATGGATACCGCTGATAGGTAACCCTCCCCAGCCAGCCACCAGCATGACCCCGTCTCCCTGCTCTGCCCACAGCACGTCCTGCCCTGGTACATCACCACCATGGCTGTGGGCTCACACACAAACCCTTGGCCAGCAAAAGAGAAGAACTGGTGCCTGCTACATGACCAGCGGTGCTCCGTGAAGAAGAGAGTGAGACAGCAGCCTGGGAAGGCAGGCAGAGAGGACAGCAGAGAGAGTGAAAGAGCAGAGCTAACAAGGCTGCAGGGATGAGCTCTGCTGGGCAGCCTGCTGCCAAGGCAGCCTCCTCTGGCACTTACTTCCAAACAGCATCTTCCTTCCCTCTAGAGATGGGAATGAGGATGAGACGAGAGCTCTGCCCACCCAACCCCATCTCCCAGCGCTCACAGCCAGGTTCTTCCTCATTCCCTACCCCAGGTTTGGGGCAACAGGTGCTGCTGGGTCCCCAATTCCTGTCCCAGCCCTCCCAGCACCCTGCAGGGACCCTGCTCCAAGGGGATCCTCCCTGCATAGTGAGGGGGAAGAGGCTGTCTGCCGACTCCTGGGACAAAGGGAGGAAGGCAGCGATACAAGCCACTGCATCCCTCCCTGGCAGGGCCATACTGATGCTGGGGACAGCCAGCACTGCGTGGGCATCCCAGGACATTGCAAAAATGCTCGTTCCTCTCCCAAGAAAAAATGATCAGCTCCAGAGGGCTCCCCATCCCCCCCAAGCATAATGGTTACCCCCAGGGAAATAAGACAAGGCTCCATTCACTGCCTAACCCCAGCGGGAATGGGGAGGGGCTCCCAGCCCCCAGCCAGCCTGGCCAAAATGAGGCAGGGAGTGGGGCCAGTGGAAGCCCGGGCGCAGGAGGCTCAGCTGGGCCCAGGAGTTCTCTGCAGCTCAGTTGTTAAGTTCAGTAAGGATGACCCACAGCTTGTTAGTGAGAATGCAGTTTTTCTCGGCCTCCTGCTGGGAGCACTCTAGAGAAAATGGAGATGTCAGTACAGCAGAGGGAAGAGACAGAGAAAGGTGAGTTAGTGAAAAGAGACTGCATTCCCCAAAGCCCTTGCTGGAAACCCTGCTGCTGCCCAGACAGGAAGAAGCAGCCAGTCCTGGGGCAGGAATGGGGCTGCGAGTCCATCAGTTCAGGAATGGAGTTGTGGGTCAGGGTAGGATGCTGAGGAAGGAGGAGGAGGAGGATCAGGGACCCATTTAGAGCCAGGGATCGCTGCTGAAGGGTAGGGTCAGCCCCTTCGGCATGGGGATGCAGAAGAGATGCCAGGGCTGAGACTGCTGCTTGTAGGCAATGTCTGGGAGTGGGAACAGGGAATGGACAGGACCAGATCTAACCCTGCTATTTCAGGCCAAAAGAGTCATGGAGAAGGTGGCACAAGATGAGGAAAGCTGTGTCCGAGAGCCGGGGGGTGGTGGGGGTCATGTCCTGGGTGGAGGCACAAAGGGCCCCGTCCCTCTCAGCCTGGCAGTGTGGGAGCTGCTCAGGGCTCAGCCGTGGCTGTCCCAGGGGTCCTGTGGCTGCAAGCTGCCTGCAACCACCTCCTACCACCCAGCTGCTGGCACCCATGTGAGACAGGCAGAAGATGAGGGACAGAGCAGCATGAAGAAAACAAAGGAGAAATGGAGGAGAGAAAATGCTTTATTGAGACCAACTCAGTAACCCAGAGGAACAGAACAGAAAAGTCATGAAATGCAAACTGAAGAGTGATGTGCAAAAGGACAGAAGGGAGGCAGGGGTGAGGGAGGAGCAGGGGTCTGGGGACTGTCTGCCTGGGGACAGGCTGCCTGCACAGCTGGACCTCCATTCCGTCCCCTGGGCCTAAGCCCTTCTCTCTATTTTGGCAGTGGAAGTGCTGCTTCCCCTGTGCAGGTCCTCCCCCACCCTGGGCTCAGCAAGCAGAACCAGGGGCCTTTGCTGGGGGAATGTGGGGGGCAGGTGTCCCTCCAGAGCCAGAGCTGTGGGGTCCCTTGTGCTTGTGCTGCCAGGGGGCTGAGGAGGGAACTACTGCAGCAAAGGGCTCTTGTGCACAGCTCTGTTCCCTGCCAGGCAATGCTAGGGCACAGACCTGCAACTGCATGGGCACTATCCACCCAGCGTGTGGGGATCCTGGGGGCTGCTCCCCTTCCCCACCAAACACCCCTAAGTACCTATACCTCATCTCCCCACAAAGAGGGCTATTGCGGGAACACCCTGGGCTGGCTCCTGTCCCAAAGGCTGGGAAGGACAAAGCAGGCAGGGAGAGCTGAGCTGGGGAGGGGTGAGGCAGGTGGGGGGTGCGGTGCTGGTGCCCAGTGGGGGGCTCAGAGGGAGGTTATGTCATTAAGCGCATTGTCCAGCTCCTCACTGATGGCTTTGTACTTCATCTTCTGTGCATACACTTCATCTGCAGGTGGGGGGCGGGCAGGGGGCAGACAGTGGAGCA